GTGTTTTCAGTTTCATTGCTGCATGCCAAAAAATAAACCAAATGCGCGATTTGTAAACTCATTGCTTACAGTGACACGAGTTTTGTTCTTTTGGACATGTTTTATATTGAAAATCGTTCAATGAAAAAGAGGTTAAAAATATACTGATGTGTACTTTGACACTTGTATTTCAGTGTGTTTTATGATTAACTTATTTGTATGGACGAAACTGTAGCATAGCTCGCTGGTAGCGATATCAACCTTACGCCTAATCAAGATACGCGACTCACACGAACTTAGCAAATTTCAAGGGTTTTCAAGCTCTGTTTAGCACTTGAAATCATGGAGACTTTTTGAGACTTTTTTGACTGTAGCTTCGTATGACTTATTTTCTATAGATCTGACTTAACAAAACTTAAATAGCTCAAAGAACAAGTGTAAAAACAGCACTTTTTTTGAACCGATCGTCATGTTATATAACTTAAATTGAAACCGCGAATGTCAACTACAAAACAGCAATTTTCTCATACTTAAAACAAACATTACTTCAAAAAATTAAGAGAAATACAAAGAAAATTAATCAGACAGCAAATATTTTCGGAACTTCCCTTGTTAAGATGCAAAAAAGACAATTTTCTGGACCGGAAACTTACTACCCGGCATATCACCGGAAATAGTAGCCATTTTGTCAACAAACCACGCGCGCAAAGCATAAAGGGATACTACTGATATCTCCTCTGAGGAAGTGTGGTACTATATGTTACCCACCGAAGTCCTCTTGACGTAGTGGTCTTCGTTATAAATATCTCGAGCAAGCCCAAAGTCAGCTACTTTCATTACGTAGTTCTCTCCGACAAGAACGTTTCTAGCGGCAAGATCTCTATGTACACACTGCAAACAGACGATTTGAATTAGTATCTCAGTGTTCTGCAGACAGATCATTACATTTTACATAATCAGGATGGGAATAAGGGATCGCCGCGACATTTTGATATGAAAGACAAAGAACTTTATCTTTAATGAATTAAATTTTCTTAACGCACACTTTTTCTGAAGGTTTTTTATTTCGAATCTCGTAGCCGGAGAATCCAAATTGGAATGACTTACCCGACGTGTAGCAAGGAATTCCATGGCACGTGCAACCTGGAATGCAGTGATCACCAAGTCTTTAGTACTGAGTGATTCATCGGGTTTCTCGGTGGCAGGAGCCCATGTGGCTTGAAATATATCGCGTCTGTTGCGGAGGAACTCTAATAGATTACCATGAGGACAGTACTCGATGATGACAAGAACTTCACACTCACGTCCTGTGGAATCATAGCAAAATCAAACATAATTATACTGACTGAGTCTCTTGAAAAAATATACACGAATAGAATGTTGTATGAATGGAAGTTATAGTTAGATATGGTTAAATTATTCTACTAAAGGAATACTACAATGAGAGACGAAAGAATATGATAGGAGGGAAAGACAGAAATTTCTATAAAGTTGCGTTAAGTTACGAGTACATTATATTTACCTTTTGTACAGGCACCGAGTAGATTCACGATGTTCTTGTGCTCACCAATGTGCATCAGAATTTTTAGCTCAGACACTAGATCTTTGTATTCYGACTCTGAGGCGTCCTCTGTAAATAAGACGAAAAGAAAGTTRATGRAAAATGTGACAGAAATTTTAACCATCATTATTAAAATAACCTGAACGTTTTCTAATTCTTTTGATAATCATGACATAGACATAAGCGCTAGTATCATTATCATAAGCAGTATCATTATGTTCCAAAACARCTAAAAATGGAGGGATCAATTCAAATAWCAYTGCAAGTTCTTAACTGACTATCGAACGTGCGCCGTTGTAGTAAAAAAACATTTTATTGCAAGTAAAGTAATCTAAATCGAATGCACGCAAGCTATCCTTCATACAAAATCCTTTTTTCATCGATGAGCTAGTACCTAATCAATTCAGAAAAAATGTAATTGAAATCGGTCCGATTTTTTTTACAATGGAATACCTTTAAGTCCTTTACAAGCTACCACTGTGACCTGTCGGTTGCTATAGTAATGGCTCCTTGTTGAACCAAACCTTGACCGTCTTCTTCCTTTTCCCTTGATACTGCTTCTTGGATCAAACGCCACGATGCCGACAGCATCTGCTTTAAACACTTGACCAAAAGCACCAGAACCAATGACTTTGCCTTAAGAACAAGAAGTGCAATGAGTACTGTTGCATTGTTTTGAATCTCTCTTGAGAAATTGTTTATTTTAGAAACCACTTATTATTTTACAGTTTACTGAGTCTTATAATGGAAATGAAATAAATCAGATCCATTCGAATTTATGTTCCACATATAAAGAGCGTGGTTTCGAGCGAGTTGGACCTCGGGTCAACATTCTGGAGCCGGTTGTACGAAGGATGGATAAAGGTATCCACCATTAATGTTATCTACACATTATATATTTTATATGGATTTTATCCACTGGATAAGGATTTAACCGGTGAATGAGAGTTATTCACCCTTCGTAAACAGCCCCTTGTGCCTCGTCTTTTCTAAAAGAACGAAACGCCAACGGTMAAATCTGTTCACGCTTTGTCTTTTCACAAGAGGGGAATAAAATAACCCAATTATACAGCAATTGGCGATGTGGCCGGGTTCTCCACCACTGACGCTTGACAATACATATTTCAAACTATTKAAGTCAWGGCTCCACAGTGAAAGCATTTTTTTGAACAGYAAGTTTTCTGATCCAATCATWCGTGTCAAACAGGCYTAWCTTACCTAATGTAAGTCGATTTCTAGGAAACTCCCAGTCGGCGCACAGTGGTAGTCTGTGAGTTTGTTCCTGTATCGGTCGGTGAGGGTCGAGTTTCTTGAGGTAATCTGGCATAGGAGGTAATGTCAAGATGTAGAACCCGCCGTACAGTTTCTTTCTATGATACAACACGGCAATGACGACCAGGACAATGATGAACGAAAAACCGCCTACGATGCCTAGGACGATTTTAGCGGTATTTGACAGCGTTTCTTTATTCTTGGAGACCGTGTATTTGTTGATCACTGGTGTTTGCCCTGAAATAAATAAGAAAAGAAAAAGTTTTTAACGCTCTAATCAACACTCGGGTACATTTTGTGGACGATAATTCTAATCTGCTGACATGCTTGGACCTACTAAACGATACAAAACGACTACATTTCTRCCAAAATTGACTTGAAATAACCGTGTTTACTTCAATAAAGTATGAAATTGCATTTACAGGAAAAGTAGCTATCTTTAAAGTACTGTAAATATTGATATTATAAATTCCAATAAGCCTCTCTGACAATAATCCAGTTTCGAATTCTCCAATGCTCTGTGTTAGCCTCATTTGTGCGCAAAAAATTCGTAATTATGAGAATAAAAGTGTGAGATTTCATATCAATTCTATTGCCTTTCTTTTCAAATTTCATGCGTTTTCACAGGCTATCAATAAAACAAAAGAATATGTTACTTGGTTTTGAGGCTAACACAGACTAAACCAGAACTCGAAATTGGAGTATTCCCTATAAATTGTTTGGGTACTAACCCACTGTAAAATCTCTCTCTGTATCTCCCATTTTGTTTCTCGCCTCGCATTTGTAAGCTGCGAAGTCATCTTTACTCAAATCTTTAATAATTAGGTACGTATTGTTTTTAGACCATGTGGAATCCTTATAAGGAACAAAGGTACCATTAWCGCYTTCTTTTAGCCAACGAACTTCGGGAGCTGGGTTCCCTGTGGCCTTGCAGTTGAYGATGACGTCATCTCCTTCAACCCAGCTTTCTTTTGTGTGTATTAAATCGATTTTTGGCTTAGCTGTAAATAAACGTACTATGTCATTAACATTCTTTTTATTCTAATTCTCATTGTCATCTTTAYTACAACGGTGTTTCTTCACTATAAAGTTGTCCTCGTTTCACATCTCTCAACACAAGATCTGCTATTTATTGACACTTTTTAATGTCAACAATACATGAAAATGAATACTTACCCAATACATCCAAATAAGCGGTTTTGTTAACGTCTCCACCTTTATTCGTAGCTAAACACATATATAACCCCGTGTCTTTATAATCCGCGTGACAGATTACTACCGTACGAGTACGAGCCTTCCCCGGTTCAATTGGAGATAGGTTTTCCAAATAATAATATACATTGCGTTTCCTGAATGCACAATCGTCTAAAGACTGCAAGGAGTGATGGGTACTGATGAGATCGTCGTTTTTATACCATTGAACAGTTGGTAGGGGGTAGCCGCTGACCGTACAATTTAATGTCACATGACTCGATTCGTTGACAGTTTGGCTTTTGAATGTGACAACAGGAGATGTGATCTCTGAAAGAAACAACAAGTAAATAGGTATGGATGAGCATTATTCTTAATTATGAATTGCGATTAAATGGTCACCATTAACCGGCATGCCTCACGAGCTTTTGTTTATAATTACTCGGGGTTCCTGTGGAACCGCGAGTTTAGRTTTCGGCGTTATTWTTTTTATTTTTWWTTTTTTTCGCATTCATCGCCAAATCGCGGCCAGACTAGCCAGGCGTTCCTAGCCTGTCTTGTCTCGTCCCATGCGTCAAGTGCTAATTGCAAGCAGCTTCTTCGTCGATGGACTTATGGCATTGCTTCTTCTTCAAAAATACGCTCAAATCACTTACAAATCCACAAAGAATTCGCGGTATAGACACACTAAAAGATGTCGACCGTTTTCGGAATGGGCTTTTTGAAAAATACCGCGCATTTATCAAGCTTATTGCGACTTAATGTTACACAAGCCATTTAATCTATCCAAAGCCAATCATGAACTAATAGAAAGCTACTGATATTCAAAGCTATAACTACTATACCGACATGAGTATAATTCAGRMGGAGCCGACGGGGTCTGTTCTTCTAAATAAATATTCTTGTACGATTTGTTTTCCTTGGAAAGAAATTTTTAGCTACATTGATGACAATCGCACAACACAATGTGGCGYCACCAAAAAATATAATTGTTATAGTTATTCAAATGAAAGACGTTGCCAATATTCTATATGTATCATTAAACCAAGAGACAACGCTAAAAAGAACCCCGAGTGCACGCTGACAAGCGTCTTGTTTATAGTAAAACTTAATCTTTATTATCCTTTTATACTTTGAAGTCAGCTCAGAATGGCCGCATTGCATGCTGGTTGCTGTCGGATGTTTTTGGTGAGTTAAGGATATTAACTCTTGCCACTCTGGTCTGTGTATGAATAGTCTATAAAGGCATTGTCAAGACAACACTTGTTTTTCCTTAATACTCAACAATTATAAAAATTATAAAAAGTTAAAACAGTATTTCTTACCCATAATGTTAAGTCGAATAAACACAGATATTGGTAGTACATTCTTTTTCTCAAGTGCCACGCACGTGTAGATCCCAGAGTCACCCAAAGAGGTGTTGGATATTGTAATAGTTGTGATATTTGCTTTACGACCAAGCTTCTTTGTAACAAGAACACGAGATGAGTTGGACACTTCTTTGCCATTAGCATCAATCCAATATGGCGGACTAACATAACCGACTTTGGCTTTACAAGTTATGGTGACCGTTTCACCTTTAGAAGCAGTCAATGAACTTCCCTGTGCTATCTTTAACTTGTCATTAAGTTTCTCTAAAAAATCCAAAAACAAAGTTAGGAAATAACTACAAAATCAATGCTTTTCACTGCCTTAATAAACCTTTTCTGAAATAGCAGTTTGCATTGCATTGTGGTCTAGATTCGGTACAGACATCTTTTGTTCATGCTACAAAATATACCGGAAAAAACGCGCACTTTATTCCATATATAAACACACCTACTTGAAGAAACGTTGACATATAGAAAGTAGAACWTTTGAATTTAGTAAAATGGAATAAATTAAAACAAGACAAAAGAGAGCGTTCAGCCTCAGTGATCTTCTTTTGTCTTTTTAATTTATTCCTTTTTACTAAATACAAATGTCCTATTTCTATGACAATTTTTTTGCAAGTAGGTGTATATGTTGTTTGTATACTGAAGTTAGACCATAGTGCAGCATGATTTTGTATTTCAGAAAATGTCTATAGCAAGTTTTCTCTTTCTCATCAATATWTTAAAACCAACATTTTGAGTGCAACTGCGTTTTGGACCAAATACATCTTGACTTTGTTTTGATCGGCTAATTCAATCAAAATCTTATCCTTTATTTTCTATTGCCTTTTTATTGTGATACTGCATGGAAGTTAAGTTACTCATCTTATCAATAAATTATAGATTCTATTATTTTTCAAAAAAAACGACAGATTTTAGCAACAATGTCCATACTTCGACTCAGCCAAAATACAGTGTCAAAATGCCTACCTGTTCTAAGCAAACGATAGACTAAATCAGCTTGGCCAACTTTGTTACTTGCAGAACATCTAAAAAACGCAAATTCTTTGCTTCCAGGAACTGTAAGAGTGCTTTCTTGAGAATCCTTTGACCATATGACTCTTGTAGGGTCGACTGGTCGCCAATTTTTAGATGGATTACAAGCTAGGTGGTAAGGGTTATCGCACGTCCACGGTTGATAGCTCCATTCTAACTTTGCACTTGGTCGAGCTTCCTTGATTTTACATGTTAACTTACGCTCTGTATCTTCATCGGCAAACAGGAGTTCTTCGGTCTTAACGAAGGCAGGACGCACTTGAAATAAAAAAAAGATGGGTGAACAAATTAATAAAAGAACGGATAGATGAATGAGAACACTACAAAAATGTCAGGTAGGAGGAATAATAGAAGGGGAAATAGATCTCAGAAAGGGTTAGGCACCCAGTACACCGACCACCAGTATCGTGAATCCGATAATGTTAATTAATGTCTGATTAGTGAGCTTTTTTCGGAAGTAGAGAAAAAAATAATGCTAACATACAAGAGGTGAAAAGATTAACATTGAAATCATGCATTCAACTCATAGTTCAGTAAAAAAAATAGAAAGACAATGAGATCATATCTCAGCAAAGACAGCGCAACACCTTCTCTTACCATTTACGACAACGTTCAGTTTCAGTTCCTTTTCGCCTTTGAGATTTTTCGCCAAAATTGACATAATTCCATTATGTTTTAAAAACGAGACTTTCGAAATAGTTATTGTGAGATTTCTGTTACCAACTTTGCCACCCCAAGTCCCTCTATATCGTCTCTTTCTCCTCGAAAACTTCGAAGTACATATCAATGTTTGGCCTCCGTGACAAGTAATTAACGTGACTCCATCCTTGTTGGTTAATGTGACGGTAGGAGAAAGCGAACCAAATACATTCAAGATTATTTTCAGAGACTTGGATTGCGTGACCTCTAATGTTGAATTGCCAGTGGTGAGAATGTCAGGTTTGACTGAAGCTGTAACAGAAAAGTAAAAATAATTAGTCTGAAGTAATAGTACAAGTAAGCAATTTGCGTGACTCTTTAAGACGTGGATCATCGCGTCTTAACGGACGATGCCGAACAATGGAACCGCGWTTTTACAACAACTTCAAAACCAAATAAAGCCCTCAAAATGGWTTGGCCGAATAAATCGAGCGACCATACTTTGTGTACATCGATCATATCTGCATCTCTATACCTTTCACGAAGACTTTAATAGACTCCTCTGCAATAACGCCATATGAATTGTTTTTGCGGCACTTATATATCCCAGAGTCCTTTGCAGTAACACTTCTTAAATTAAGTTTCCATATAGTTTTTAAGATGTTATCTCCTGCGATAGTGTGAGCACGTAGTACTTCTTTTCTTAATAATCTCCAGGCATTCGTCGTAGGGTCAAGTTTGTACCATGATGTGGAGCCAGAGTGGAGCGATTCACATTGTATGGTATAGTTGCCAGTGGTTTCAAGCTCTAGCAGCTTGGAGGGCGGGGGATACATTCTGATTAACAACTTGGTAGAAAGTTCTAAATCGAGAGAATATTGAACAAATAACTAAAGAGTTGCATTATGCACATTACGACACTCACACACACTACTTTTRTATGTAATATCAGTTTGAATTCAGAGCTCAACTGTCATGTTAATTGAGCTGCGTGAGAGAATGAGATTATAATTGAATACGATAAAACAACCCTCGTAAAGAACATCAAGCTCAAAAGTTAATTCACACATGACCAGGGCGAGTGGACCGAGAAAGCAGTGATGCCGAGGACTGATGCCGAAAACATAAAAAAATAGATTAGACAAAAAAGAGATAGGAAAGAAAAATCAAGATGTAAGTTTTTATTGATCTTGCCATGCTATTATTATTATTATGTAAACAAATTGGTGCTCTTTTCTTGAGTTTTGGGATTTTCTCTTTTCTCCCAGCGTTGGAATAATCAAAGAAAATCAAAGCTACAAAAAATGGGATTTATCTGAAACGGGCCACCTCTCTCACAAGACTATCACAGGGTGCTATGGGCTTAACCTTCGGTAATGTGAAACACAACAATGGCACGTAAACCAGAAGTAAAACAGCAACTTAGCGAGTACTTACGTCTATCGACGTAGATATTGAATTCTAAATCAGCTATACCATCAGCTCGACACTTGTATAGGGCCGGATCATATTCATTGAGGTTGTTAATGGTGAATTTCTGTCCTGATTGCTCGACTTTRGTACCATCGACAGGAACAATAACACCTTCTTTCAAGAGAGTTACTTTCGCAGTGGGAATGCTTAAACGACAGTCGAATTCGTAGCTGACATTCCTTGGAAGCTGTTTTATAAATTTCGTTCCGGTGTGGAGCCATTTCAGGAAGGCTGGAGTTGGAGTCGTAGCTGTGGRCGTCAAATAAAAATTTACATAAAAAAAAATACACACTTGAAAATGAGGACGAGTCACTTACGTGGAACTACGCACTGTTTCCGTTGGTCATCCCAATACGCTGGAGAAGGACACGTTTGTCTTGTAGCAATATTGTTCTTGCATAAAATATAACCCCTTCGATTAAATGGATCTGGAAACAGACCGTTTGGTTTGCGGCATTCTAGGAATACACAAAGCAAAATAATAAGATTTTACATCGAATGCGCGAGTGAAGTGCATTATGGTTATTCAATATTGTTGTCGGGTTTAAAAAAGGTAAAATTACAAACCCTGAAACCAAAGAGAATTTTGTGAACTTGGAACTTGAATACGTTATAAAAATAATTATTAATGCGGAAGACACTTAAGAACTGAACAATGTTCAAAATCACTCAAACTGAAAAAAAAAGTCAAATTATAATTTTCCTCCCTATAATCCCTTTCGGTCTTCGCTTTCATGATGTAACCTTTGTGAACCTGACAACCTTTTTTAATATGGGTGTATCATAGACTATCCAAAGCCATTTCGGAGTTGCGCAGGGGACTGGGCACTAATCAAAGAAATATTGATCTAATCACGAAACAAACCCCACCACATGAAAGGACAMCCAAAAWTTRGTAARTATACCAAGTTTCAAAACGTTTGGATAAAAACTAGCTGAACTGTATTTATTCCTAGTTTCATCAAATTAATAGAGAATGTATTGTTTTGGGGGACGCGGCCAAAATCCCCATACATTCTCTGTAAATTGCACGGCTTCTCATTAATTGAATATTTGTCCAAATGATCTGTAACTTGGAACCTACACTAAAGTCGATAAAGTCTTTTTAGTGATATGGTTAGTTTTTCGATTGGCTCAATATGACAGAAATTACAATTCATTTCATAACATAAAAATGGCCAATA